CACCTACCTACATGTAAGCAATATGCTCATACACATAAAATAAAAATAATAAATATTTTTAAAGGAGTATTACTTCTGTTGGGAAATTACTGTTCCTCACTTTTCAACCTCACTTTCTCCCAGCCTTTACTGAAACAACGAACTGCGGACAGGTATAACTGGTTGTACCTCACCTTGTCTTTTCTGAACGCCTCTTGTGTTCTGCCTTGGGCTGCTTTGTGTCTCTGTGGCGGCCCATAGGAATGCACTCAGCCATCCCAAATCATGGGCAGACCTGAATGTGCCAGGGAGTGAACATGCCATAGTGTTACTGCAGCCCTGCTCTTCTGTCCCTTGGCCTGGCAACTCTGATTACAAGGCTCATCAGGGGGCAGCACGCTAGTTGTCTGCAGTGGTGATCAGCACCAGGACACCTTGAGCTTGGCTCTTCTTTGTGCCTATTTCATGCTTTCAGTTTCCCATTCATGTTCCTGGAATTGCTTCCAAAATAAGGGATTGCACAGAAGCCCTTTGCTTTTGCTAGCTAGCTGGCTAATAAGCAGGGAGACAGACGGATGATAGACATATTTGCTGTACACAAGCTCCACACAGATCCATCGACTGGAGAACACTCTGACAGACATTCTGCTTTGAAGTGAGACACAGAGGACGAGTGGTTTCATGGTCTGATATAACACACACTGCAGTTATCTATGCACTGTTAGCTATGAATTTCAGTTAGAATAAAGATACTTAAGGATGGAAGCCAGGTGATTCTCTCTCTCTCTCTCTCTCTCTCTCTCTCTCTATATATATATATATATATATATGTATATATATAATCTTTAAGATCTGAAGAAACTCACCTTTCAGGATGGTTTGGATGGAGCCCTCCATTAGGCTTGCTCCTAGTTAGGTGCATATATTCTGATAACGAGGGCAGACTAGTTACTTCGCTGTGTCTCTGTAAATACACAGGAAGTACCTAGGAGCTAGCTTTCATAATGTACTGGGGCTCGTGGAGTGAGAGTCCTAAACAAGTGGACAAATCATAATTTTAGCAATTCCTTCATTGTGTTAAAATTAAAATGACTTTTGTGACACCTGCTAAGGCATTTCTTATCCTATAGAAAGCATTTGAACCAAGCTTGGTAGAGAGCTTAGAGGTCCTATTAGTCACCGGGAGGAGGTGGAACAGTGGGATGGTGGGAAGCAGTGGGGTGGAGTTAAAGGTAGAAAGGTGTGGGAGGGCCAAGGTCTCAACAGCTCCATGTAGCTTGCTTCCAGCTCATTCAGCCAGACAAATCACTTACCAGACTGGCAAAGTATATTTAAGCCATCCTCATGATGACTCAGGACACAGTCTAGGCATAGTGATTTAGCTTTGATCAGAAGAGAGCAATGTTAGACCTCCCAAACTTTGAAGAGTGCAAATATTTCTAGTTGATTTTTTCCCCATCCCAGAGCCCCCTGTGGTATGTGTGGTTTCTTCTAACTGCTGTGCAATAATTCTGCCTTGCAATGACTCTTTCTGGTTTACAAAGAGTCACAGAATCATGCTTATTATATGTACTCTATTACAGTGGGAAGGGTTCTTAGAGATTATTCAGGTTCTTTGTGTGTGTGTGTGTGTGTGTGTGTGTGCGCGCGCGCTGGAGGACAACTTTAGGCATCGGCCTTTGTTTGAGACAAGATCTCTTGTTGGTCACTGAATATGCCAACCTAGCTGGCCACAAACTTCTGGGGATTTTTGTCTCTGCATCTTACCTCACTGTGGGAGGACTGGGATTACAGATGTGTGCTACCACATTTGACTTTAGATGGGTTCTGAGGATTCAAACTCAGGTCCTCACACTTGCTCAGCAAACCCTAAATCCTCTGAGCCATTTCCCCAACCTCTGACCTCTTTTTGTGAGATACTTAACAGTATGTCAGAGTTGTATCTCTTGTTGGCTGAGCCAGGTTTCAACTCCCTGGCAATGTCCCTTCTGGTTGGAAAACATGTAACCAGATAGTTCCCATTGAACAGAGTGGAAACACACCTGGCAGAGGGGGAATTAATCTTGAAGTGTGAATTAGAGTAGAGTATCTGCTGTATTAAAGACCAAGAATGAGTTAATACTTACCTTAATCATTTCAAAAGGATTTCCAAGGCAGTACAGCCATTGGCTTTCCTTCTTCACCTGCTCTCAACACAAGCAAGAGTTGGATTGTACAGTTTGCAGATGAACTTCATCGGTTATGAATTGGAGATCTACTACGTCATAAAGATAGTAGATGAAGTCTTGATGGGTAATGTGAGACCACTCAGACTGTAAACAGGGGAGCAGAGGTTGGGTGTCGGTATCCTTTAGTTCCCAGGCATCACCAAACTTCACTCAACCTAGGACATTTGCCTGCTTGGTTAATTGTGATGATTCACAAAATAAATCCCATTTTGTGGAGGCCTCTTCTGAGGCAATGCAGTTGTTAAGAATGCTGGCAGGAGTATCTTCAATGCCTGTGACTGATGCTCTTTTGGGATGAAGCCTGAACCTTTAAGGGCAGTTTTGCCATGGGACTTTGCTCACAGGTTCCTAGCTGCAGTTGGGAAGGATTTCCTTGTCTTCTGGAAGCAGAGATGAAATCCCTCAGCAGCCATCCCCTCTCTTCCTCCCTTCCACAGGCCCTGAGCTCCTCTTGGCCCTCCTTCCTCACTAAGGGAACCAATGAGGTGTGCTTTCCCCTCCAAATTGTTCCTGCAGTCTACCAGCTCCCATGACCGTTGGCAGAGTTCTAACACGATGCTTCTAACTTGCTTAACAAGCCTTGTTATTTTCCCCTGTTTAGTAACCAGAGCCTCTGAAAGATGGTTAGGTATAATTTGGTGGTAGCCATGAAACCAACCATCAACTACGGACACATTTTAGAACACACGGCCTTGAGTGTCAGCTTGAAACATATTTATGTAGCATGACAGTTGAAAAAGTATCTATGCTCTTGAATCAGAATTCAAAGGCCAGAAGGATGTCCAGCATGGAAGTGCCCAGTCCATAAGTGAAGATGAATTCTGTCTTGCATGGCTCTGTTCTCAGGCCAGTCCTCAAAGTCAATGGAAACCCATTTCAGAAGTGATTTCCAAGCTGGTAGTTTTCATTTATATGGAATATATAAGGTAACTATAGTGTGTAGGGCGGAAAAAGTCTGTACAAAAAGGGAAGTCGTTCATGCAGGGAGTGTTAGAAAAAAACAAAGAAGTCTGGCTTATTTCAATATTTTCAATGAGCATCAGCCACCCCAAAACAAAGCTGATATGTGAGTCAAATCAAAGACTGTATCTTCATCATCTGAAAATAGTTACTGACTGAAAAGAAGAAAGAAGAAAACAGTGATTGGTGGCCTGTTATTGACACAGTGGCTCTCTCTACATTATCTCATTTAAAGAATGTATTTGATGACTTTAAATGTTAGGGTGAAGTGGCTCACGATTTCTTGAAGTAAGAACAGGACATTATATTTATAAGCATGTGAGCTGTGAGCCAGGCGGGGCATTCTCATCTGCTGCTTTATGTATTTTTATCAGTCATCACAGATTCATGGGAAGCTCTCATATAGAAAGAACTTTAAAGTGGAATACAAGTTTTCACTTATCTGTATTGCTTTTCCAATCTCTCTCTCTCTCTCCTCTTCTCCCCTCCCTCCTTTTTTTTGGTCTCAGGATCTTTCTATGGTGCCCTCTCTTGAATAACAAACTATGACTCCTTTCACTTGGATAGCTTATTATTTAGCTTGTATAACACACCATTTCCCTGATTAAAATATACTTGCTGAACTTCAATAAGACAAATGGATTCATCTGTATTTTTCCTTCTTTTGGTTAGAGGGTCAATAAAATAACGTTAGGCAGGAGAAGGTAAGGCTGCCGAACACTTTGATACATCACTAAATAATCTCAGAAAGGAGCCAGCTACCAGCATCCCAAAAGACTGATAGGCTTTCAACCTTAATGGACAGCAGTGACTTGCACAGTAGTCATTTGCATTATAACCAGTACTGTTCAAAATTTGCACTTTGTAACAACTATATCTAGGAGTGGACATTTCAGAAACATGAAATACAATGAAAAGAAAAAAGAAACAGAACAGAGGACAATGAACACAGAATTGGTCAAGGATGGCAACAAGAAAGAGAAAGAAACCAGAGTATAGCCAACCTTTTTTTTTAATTAGAGTATATTATACTTTCAAACTGGATACACTAGAAATTGGCAATGCAACATAAGATGCAAAGGAATATATCAGTTACTGTCAAAATGACCCTGTACAGCCTTGTAATGCAAAAAAGCTTTATACAATACAAATTCTCAGTAATGTACACAAACCTCAACAGTATGATCATTTGAACATAATGAGTTAAAAAAAAAAAGAAAGGATAGAAGGAAAAAAGTGCTGAGAGCCCTAAGCACATTACTACATGGAAAGACAAGCCAGCTTTCATGGGAGAGTGCAGGGTGGAAACTGAAGTCAGTCACTAGGTGAGTTTCTCAAACATGTTAGTGTTTTAAGCGGAAAGGATATCTACAGAACACATCCTTCCCTGAGCATCGAACTGCAAACTAGATTCGGGGTACATTTTACCTAGGTGGAGTCTGAAAAATGCTGGAGAATTTTTTCTTTATTAATAACAATAATATAAAAAGCCAAACAAACTCCAAACACACCTTTTCTCACTCAGAAAACTTTTTATAATTTACCAGAAAGATTGATGACTCTTTCCAAAGTGCTAAAAAAGTTGCCCAATTTTATTAAGCATTACTAAGTCATTCAAATACAAGTTCAGCGGCAAGCAGTGAAATGCATGGCATTTGAGCAGTAAACATCTCCTTTCACTTCCGCCCAAGAACCTCTCATTGCACACGTGGCATGCTGTTGAACCCAGGGTCCTCGTCTGCAGGGCCACTCGTTCAGGTTCTTAACCTGCTGTGTGAGTCATCTTTCCTACCTATCTCTGTGGGATCGCTCTGGCCCCTTTTCCTGTCATCACTGAACTTGTAGTTTTGAAAACATATTATTAGCCAAGTGGCACATTCTCCATTAGATGGGCATAAAGACATGACTTTAAAACAAAACAACAACAAAAAACCCCAACAAACTAAAAAACAACAATAAACCCAGTGACCCTGGGGATGTATTGTCTAGAACTGTCTATAGTGTCTTTCACTGAGATACTGACATGGCAAGTTGAACAATATTTCAAACAAGGCCAAGAACAAAGGTCTCTGCTGGAGGACTGAGGCTTTGGGAGTTCCCTGCCCTAGCTTGGTTGGTCTCCCTGCCCCGTGGACATCTCTGTAGTGTAAACTAGTTTGCCAGGGCACTGAGCAGGCTCCCCACCCACGGCTGAATGACAGGCAGGGGTGGGGGTGGGGTGCAGACACTTACTAGGTATGGGAAGGGGGCCGCTGGAAGGGGAGAGGGAGCCCATGGCGTGTATAGTCTTCTGGCTTGTCCAACTGCACTAACTGCTGGGTGCTTTCAGTGAAGCAATTTGACTAAAGGAAGAAAAACCAGGGATGCTTTTATTCTCCCCTGGTGAAACCGATGAAAAGGAAACCCCACTTCTGGGATAACCGAAGGTAGGGAAAGAGTTCCTCCTGCCAGCTCTTCAACAGATTAAATAATATAAAAACTTTTAGATTCCAAACCTCCCATTCTTATACAAAGCACACTTCCTCCCGTTGCACACTGGAAATTCTGCCGTCTTACAAATACCAGCAATGAACATATTCAACCAAAGATTTTTTTTTTTCTTTTTTAAATCATCCATTACGTTTTAAGGTGAGCAAAGGGCTATGCGACCGAGCCACGCCTGCTTCTTGCTGAATAAAGTGCTGCACACAAATTGCCATTTTAATGACCACAAAATAAGAGCTTTAAATAAGTATGGAGTTAGCCTCCTAGCAGGTTACGTCTATCCTAGGCGTTAACAGAATGGAATACAGGATTATTAATACATGAGGGTACAGCTACAGCCAGAGGCTCTGCAAACGTGGGAGCTCCACAGGGGCATCAACTGAAGCGCAGGCGTAAACAGCACCTTTTCGTTGTGTCCTTATGTGTTAAAAAGGTCGTGGCTCAATTTTCAAACATACAGTCTACACACTCCATAAAAAGGTGCATTTTCTTCCTTTTATCTTATCTTTCCCCCCCCCCGATGAGAAACTAGTGCAAGCCCAAAGCACTGTGCAAAACTGCATTTCTCTCTTTCCTTTTTTTCTTTTTTTCTTTTTTTCCCTTTTTTTTAGTCTGAGCATTTATACCCAGAATGGATCCAAACCCCCTTTAATCTCCTTGGCTGGATTTATCAACCATAAAAATTTCCATTCATACAATATTTTTTTCCTGCAAATAATGGTGATGACTGAACCAACACATCGCACGTGTCTAACCTGCCTTTAAAACATGTAGTCTCTGTGTGCACACCAAACCACCTGTTTTCATGTGGCCTCACACAGAGTACACTAAAGTTCTGTGACGTTGACTGCAGTGCTGCAAGACATCTCTTACAGACCTATCACCCAGTTCTTCCCATGTTCTTCCTACATGGAGGAGATTCGAGTAGCAAGCTTTGGGCACTCTCTTGGAAATGTCCTGCCACACTGCAGATGTCTACCACTCCTTCAGCCACTAAATACACACCAGGCCCTATAACTCTGTAGCCATAAAATGGACAGGGAAGGAGGCGAAAAGAGCTTGGGGAGACTGTAGTGGATGAACAGCCCAGGAGGGAAAGAAGGGAATGTTCATTACTGTTAAAGAAGCCAGTCCAAAAAGAATGTGCAATAGAAATGTTATGGCACACCACACACGTGTGCGTGCACACACACACACACACACACACACACACACACACACACACACGGCTTTCTCTTTCCCAATCCATACAACCCACTCACCCAACAGAAAACCAAATGCACCAGTAGAGAAGCTTACAAGTGCTGATTGCTATTAAGGACACTCTCTTTAGTGTTTAACAAGACAAAATTCCTTTCAGAGAGAAGTGCGAGGAGGGCTGGGAGTGGGTGGCTGGGTAGGCATGCCTCTGAAGGTAGAAGCGGGCGGCAGATCACCTCTCTGAAGATTGGCTAAAGCAGCTTTCAGGTCAATGCAATAGGTATACACACAGAGCCAATTCTCTATTCCTTACTAAAGATATACAGTACACGTGGTTCAGACCCCTGGGGCCTGTAAGTTTTGCAGCAACATACACCTGCTGGGGTTGTATTTAAGTTTTGTGGGTTTTTTTGTTTTATTTCCTGTCTGTCTCTCGGTTTTTGGTACGGAGCGTGGCTGCCCTCAGACAGTCTCTGCTCTTTCTCTGAGTCCGAGATAGGCGAGGAAGGAGTGTTTGGGTGAGGGGATGCTGGGAGGCGCAGTCTGAGGTCGGGGAGGGTGGAATGTGAGATCCAAGTGGTTCTTGGGGTACAACATTGTCAAGGGAATGAGATGGGCAAAATCCGAGTTCCGGTACTTGTCAAATTGCAGCGGGGAGCCGTTGAAGGCCAAGGCCTTGAGTGCCAGGTTGGGCTCTGAGCTGCTGCTGTGGGCAGCCGACAGGGCCACGGTCTGCAGGGCCTGCGAGGCAGACATGACCGACAGCGGGGACAAGAGGCTCCGGGCACCCCCCACGACCAGGAGTGGGGCCCCGGGCCCAGCGGGCTCTCGGGGGGCTGGACTCAGACCTTTCTTATCCTCGGCGCCGTCCCCACTCTGGTGCTTCTTCACGTGGCGGCTGAAGACGAAAGGGTGTGTGGTCTTGAACAGGCACTCTCCGCAGCTGAAGGTCTGGCGGGGGGCGTGCTTCAGCTTCTTGTGCAGGTTGAGATTGTCCTTGCGCTTGCAGCTATAGCCGCACTGGTCACAGTGGAAGGGCCGCTCCCCCGTGTGCACGCGCACGTGCTCGATGAGCTTGTTGGCGGTCTTGGACAGGTAGCCGCACTGGTCACACTTGTAGTGGTTGCCCAGGCGATGCTCGCGGGTGTGCGTCTCCAGCTCCAGCTGGTTAGCCTTCACCGCCTGGCAGATCCGGCACTTGTACTCCATCTTGTAGTGGGTCTTGAGGTGGCACTCCATGGCAGCAGGGCGGTTGGTGGAGTAAATGCAGAATGGGCACCTGCCAGGGGAAGCAATGCGAGGGCGGTTCAGACGGAAGGGTCCCACAGCAACCCTGCATCTCCCCTCCTCACCAAGCCTGCACTGGGTCTGCCCTCCAGTCCCCAAGGCCTGGCCTGCTCAGCCCTGCCACCTCTCAGATGGCCCTGCTTGGCTTCAATGCTGACAGAGCAGTCCTCATTAACAGAGAGCTCTAGTGTGGTCCACTTAGCCGGTTTGGGGGCTCCAGCGGATGCCTGCCCTCACAGAGGAGCAGAGAGTGTGAGGAGCAGGTAAGGGGCGCTCCCCTCCAGCCTCCACCCAGCCCCTGGGGCCCTCCCCACCGCCACCCCCATCTGGACATGGCAGAGGTTTGGCCCTCCTGACCTCCCCTCTAGCTGGGAGCAACACAAAGAATCGACTTTTCATGCACCACACCAAGCACACGCAGAGAGGCTGAGAGGTTTTAAAGAACAGCTTACAGGGGAAAAGCTACCTCCAGCAAACAGAAGGTCACAGGGGTCAGAGTCGTGCTTATTAAAGGGGTGTTAGGATGAGAAGGCCTGTGTGTGTCCCTCTGTGTGCCCGTGTGGTGTGTGTGCATGTGTGTACGCAAACATGTGGACTCTCAGAATGTCATCTCCTATAGCATTGGATCTTCATCAGGAAAGGGAGGTGAGGACTGTGGCAGGGGCCTGGGAGAAGGAAGCCCACTACTCATGAGGCATGAATGAGGAAGGGAGACTGCTCTCAGGAGCTTGAAGACACCCTCAGGACATTCTCAGGCCATAGAAACAAAACCCCAATGATCTAACTGGATCGTGACTTCGCAGAGGGCTTTGCTGACATTTCTTTTGCATTCTCTACGATGCTCAGCAGGTGGTAAGCACTCAGGGATACCAATTCGTGATCTGAGTAGTCTTTACAGGCAATTTAAGCAGGGAAGGGTGGATTGAGTCTCAGCTCCAGCCCCTGGTTGGGCTCTAGGTGTGTCTTCTAGGACAGAGCCCAGGTTTTTCTGTGGCTTGAATTCTCCAGTCCTTCCACCAGTGGATTAAGCTACTACCAGTCCTGCTGTCAAGAGGGGCTGCGAGGGAGGGGACAGCCATGTTTGCAAAAGCTGCTGGGCTTCACGTTTGGAAGCTGCCAGGCCTGAGTCAGTGGCTTATAGGATAACTGTCCCAAAAACAATGCAGGTGCCTGAGTGGCTGCCTCAGCTCGGACTGGGCTTCTGCAGTGCAGGGCCTGGGAGGGGACTGTCCTCAGAGGGTCGGAGAGGTGTTCAGCAGAGCCCAACACAATCAGGTGCACCGTGCACTGCCTCCTCAGCACCAAGCTCGCTGTTAGCCCTTGAACCTCAGCTCACAGAAGAGTGCACAGAAATATAAAGCCCATTCCCAGGTCAAGTGCACACACAACCCCTATGCCAAGCTGGGCCTTACCTAGAGGAGTCTGAAACTCACCACTGTCCTGAGCTACGGCAAAAGAAAAATAATAGTATAATCTTATTTGATCTGCATTATGAACAGGATATAGAGTACAAGCAGTTCCATCACAGAAAAGCAACTTAGACATCGGCGGTCTGTTTCACGTTAAGGACATTTCTGTGACCCACAGCTCAAGTTTTCTTTCGTTGCTCAGGCAAAGTGCTAAGGATTGTTTGTTTGTTTTTTTTTGTTGTTTTTTTTTTTTTTGTTTGTTTTTCCGTGCTCCCATTATCTTAAAGACATTCTCTCAGGCAAATTAATTCTCTGATATTGCAAAAGAAAGAAAAACCAAAACAAAGACTCACTGTATAGCCAGAAGTCATTATCAATTTGTTTCCCAAGTATCCTACTTGGTCATCCTAGAACATGAACTATTACACAGGGGATGGTTAGCCCTGCATGGGAAGGGTCTGAGTCAATAAAAGCATCCAATCCCCAGTAGGTCAGAGGCTCGGGACTGTTTAGGGCTCCAAAAGATAAGTGGCATAGCCACAGCAGAATGGTTGTGACGGGGTGCAGAGGCAACGATACTAGTCCATCCACTGAGAGCAGGCTTCTTCTTTTGAAATAGAGTTTATAAATCTTTATACAGGGACAGCAGGATCAAAACAAACCAGATTCCCAAATAAGCTCCTGGCAGGCATTTATTTTCCCATCTATTAGTTGAATGAATTATAATCACCAGCCCCCTTCCCTACATCCCTCCCATCTAATGAGCCCCTAAGAATGGATGAAAATGGACTCTGCAGCAGGCGCTGCTCCCCAACTCTTGAACTCTTCAGTGTTTGTAGAGGGTGCCCTGACCAGCTAGTCCTGCTCCGCTCGCTCGCAACCCTCTGCTCCAAGGTCCCTCTGGGCCATGGCACCTCTCTGACAGGCTGTTTCAATGATAAAAATGTTTTAAAACAAAAGATCTCCCACCCTCCCCTAATATTAAGGGGAGAGGGAAAGCTTTTGGTCCCCCTCATTCTTTTAACTACATGATAATTTCAGCCCCAAATGCCTTGACACCTGTGCTTTTCAGTGCCCACTATTTTATGCTCCTTTTTCTTTACTACACTCAAAGTGCCTTGTGGACGGGGACCCCGATTTCAGAATCACTGGGAAGATTAAATCCTGGGAGTGCTAGGACATAAATTTCCTGAGGGTGGAAATGATATTTTACTCCTCATGTGCCCTTTAGCACCTGTGATCAAACTAGCCAGCTGTATGTTTGGTAATAACTGATGGGTCTCACTTGAGGCCAGAGGGCTTCTCACAAATATTGGTTAAGGGTGATGCTCCTTGAGGCGTCGGCATGTCTGCAGGAAGATATGAAGCAATGTTTGCACGAACACTGCTGCCTCCCGTCTGATCCAACTGCCAAGGTTCTAATCTGGGGACTGAGGGTTGTTATAGTGCTTCCTTAAAAGCTAAATATATGGGAGGCCATCTGAAAAATGGACATGGCCACTTGCAGCAACACTGTACAGTGACTGACACCTGGGAACATTAAACCTGAGTCCATTAAAATCAAGTCTGAACACAACTCAAGCTGCAGAATGAATCTACTCCTTAACGCCAGGCTGCGGCTACAGGTCTGCTTCCTTGACATGAGGCCTGGGGTACTTGTGCAGTGACTTCCCCTGCTAATGTTGACTCCCTCGGGGGTCATTCTAACTCCATCAACATTGAGGAAGCACAGCTTTCAGACTAACTCTCCTCATACCAAGCTCCCCCTCTCTGTGACCCCAAAAACCTTCAGGGGAGGGTCGGGGTAGGGCAGGGGAAGGGTGTTGAATTACAACGCAATAAAAGATTTTGTACTTGCTTTCCTTACTTGAGCCCACCGGTGGGGACAGTGTGGCATTTCTTATGCTCCAGCAGCTGTTCGGGGGTCTTCATGAACTTGTGGCACACGTCACACTCAAACATCCGGGTGATGAGGTGTATTTGCAGATGGCGCTCAAACATGTTCTTCGTCTTGCAGACAAAGTTGCAAAAAACGCATTCGAACCCTGAAAGGACCGAAGCTGGGTGTAGAGGTGTGTGGGGCGGGACAGGAAGGCAGGCGTGGGGCGGGACAGGAAGGCTGGCGTGGGGCTGAGCACCCTCTTCCTGCCAACACATACAACCTTTTAGGCACGTAATGCTGTGCTAAAAAGAGCTCAATATCCAGCTTCAAAGTCAAGGTCATCCTCCCCATCAGTCCATCCCACATCTGAACATAAATCAAGCCAAATCAGTAGTGAACATTACACTGCATCCCATATTTGTGCTCCTCTCTAAGGTTTGTGGGCAGGGTGAGCAGGCCATGTCTAACCCTCCCTTACCTTTCTCTGGCTTTTCCTCACTGTTCAGTGAGGGCTGGCTCCCAGGCACAACAGAGATGACCAGCAAGTTGTTCCCACCCTTGTTTTTCTGGGAGCTGTCTGAGTCGTCTTTGCTGTTGGCTGAATCACTTAGCGCTGACAGAGAGGATGAAGAGGGGCTATTTGATTCACTGGGAGTCTTCCTATCTTCCCCTGAAAAATGAAAATAAGCCAGGTCTGTTACGTGGGAGGTGAAGCCTCTCAGAATGATGGTGTTGAGGGTGGGGGGCGGGTCCTGGGATGTAATTATCTGGGAGCTCACTGCTTCCAGTTCCCCCAGGGTACCGACTGGGAACCTGATTCTAGTATACGCATGGTGAAGGCTTGCTTGGAACTTGGGGCCCAGATATGTCTGCCGGCACATACTGAGGTCTTACAACAGTTAAAATATGACAATAATAGCTAAGATATACTGCACAGGTTACCACGTTCTAAGATCTGTGTTACGTTTCAAATGCATGGTCTCATTTTAGCCTCACAAAAAATCCTAGGTCTGGGGCTATAGCTCAGTGGCAGAGGTATGTACACACACACACACACACACACACACAGACTTATCAGGCACTACTCCTACGTTACAGAGGGGTAATCTGGTGCAGTTCATATGGCTACACCAAATGACAGTAAGAAGTTTGAGCTTGTCCGACTCCAGTGTCTACACGCTTCAGCAGGCTATACTCTCTCTGAAAGCCAGTCACAAGTGAACAAGTCATTAAAATCTAGTGTCAAGAGACTTCAGTGTTAGAGCATCTGGGATTGGATCTATTGCTATTCAAACAACTGAAAAAACTAGATAAAATATATCAAACAACAGTTTTTTACAACACTGGGCATGAGGCAATGAAGAAGTTGGTCCCTGAGAGACAGGACAAAGGGGCAAGCCCCACAATTGCATTGTTTCCTGCCTGAAGATATGTCCCAAGTCGTAGGACAGTAAGAGGGATGTGGGGGAGCCTGACAGATTCCCCATGTGGAAGACACAACGCTGAGGGTCTGGGGAGTCAGCATGAACAGAAACAAGAAAAACCAGCTTAAAACAGAGAGGAAAAATCAACCAATCATAGTTAACTCGGAATTAGCATAGTAGTTAGGATTTTTAGTAGAGGACATTATAATTATGTTTCATATATCTGAAAAGTTATGTGGAGACATGGACGATAGGAAGAAAGTCCCAATGACATTACTACAGATGGGAGCACAATGAAGAGACCACTAGATCTGACAACAGCAGGAGAAGAACAGTAAACCTGACAATGATCGCTATAGAAAAGACCTGAAATGAAACAGAAAAAAAGAGCCCCCCTCCAAACAAAAAGAGCGTCAGTGAACTGTGGGATGCCTGAGGCAGCTTAACAGAAGACTAATTAGAGGTCCCGGGTTGACCAAGGCGTAATAATTGTGTGTGGCGATGAAAACATTCCTAATTCAAGGACAACATAAGGCTCAGGACCCAAGGAGCTCAACGCACGAAGAGCAGGGGTATATACCTGTAACCCCTCCCCTCGGGAGGCTGGGGCAAGATTTTGAGTTCAATGTCAGTTTGGGCTAGATAGTAAAACCCTGCCTCAAAAAAGAAAAAAAGAAAAGAAAATGGCCAAGAATAGCCAGAAGAACAAAAGGCATGCTACAAAACGAAAACAGCAGACTGTCCAATAGGATTGATCCAGCCGAAAGGACACTGAGGTAACATCTCAAAAGAACTGAAAGATCAGGGCTGCAGAGATGGCTGAGGCTAAGAGTGCTGGCTGCTCTTGCAGAGGACCTGGGTTCGGATCCAGCACCCACATGGTGGCTAACAACCTTCTGCAACTCCAGTTCTAGGGAATCTGATGCCCTCTTCTGACCTTTGCAGATATTGTACACAGGTGGTGCATTTTCGAACATGTAGATAAAACACTTGTATAAATAAAATTTAAAAAAATAAATAAGAACCAAATTGGAAGATCATTGACCTAAAATTTCAGATTCAGTGAAGGTATATTTAAAAAATGAAGAGCAAACAAGCAAAGTTGACATTTAAAAACATGAAAAAAAAAATCACCCCCCAAAAGCCAAGAGTGTGGCGGCATACGCCTTTAGTCCTAGCACTGAGGAGGCAGAGGCAGAGGTAGGCAGATCTGTGGGAGATCAAGGCCAGCCTGGTGTACATATTGAGTTCCAGGTTAGCTGAGGCTACAGTGAGACCCTGTCTCAAAAAAGACCAAAGAAAACCAAAACAAAAAAAAGAAGGAGGAAGGAGAAGAGGAAGAGGAGGAGGAGGAGGAGGAAGAGGAGGAGGAGACAACGACCACCCACCACCTGTGAAGAAGAAGAATGAGAAGGAGGGGGAGGGGGAGGGGGAGGGGGACGGGGAGAAGAAGACAATGACCACCCACCACCTGCAATCGAGTTCTAAGAGATACAGAAGTTGAAGCAGAGGGAAAATGGCTCCCAACGTAGAGATGGACAGGACGACAGAACGAAGAGCCCTGGAGATTTTTTTCTTAAATATTTTTGAAAGATAATGAAAGCATTGTTGCTTAAAGAAAAAATAATAATGCATTAGAGAAATCTGACAGTACTAGAAAGCCTGGGAGAAGAGGATGGACGTTTCCTATTGTGCAGTTCTGATACCAGTATGAAGTGGAATAACACTCAAGACCATATAACACATATTGTATAGCATAAATACTGCCTTAAATAACTGTATAATAATATGGTTTATTAATGCATAGATTTAAATTAATAGATTTTGGGTCAAAATCAAAACAGTTCTGAACAGAGGAAACTCTCATTGTGAAGCTATTAATTTATAGGAGGGGTCAGCTAATGCTAGCCCTGGGGCCAAACTAGTTTTCTGTTCTTGTAAACTAAATCTTACTGGAACATGGCCCTTCATTTGTGTGTTGTCTACCAGGACTTTCAAGTTCTAATGGCAGAGCCGAGTCAAAATGACAGAAACTGTATGGCCTGAGCGCCGGAAACATTTACCATCTGTGCACAGGAAAAAAGGCTTTAGGGGTCCAGACTCACAAATGTTCCCACCTTATTCTAATCGCAGCGACGTAAGAAGCTTCCACTAAATTACAAAAGAAACCTCTTTAATGTATTTCACTCTTGGCTTTCTGTTTTAACAAGTAAGAACATTCCTTCCAGCTAGCCCTGGAGTTCTGTCACCTCAGAAAGAACAAGGTCCCCCCTGTGTGTGCTGTGGTAATTAGGAGGTGTGTTTGCCTAGGTCAGTTGTGATCGTGAAATTTCCGTGGAGGACTAGGGCTGCTGAGTCCAACTTCTTCCTGGGGTGAGGCAGTGGTGCAGGGGACTGTGGTGTGCGGTGGGAGGGAGGTTCAGGGACACGTTGAGGTGAAGGGGGTTACAAGAGTAAGGACTTAACAGAAAAGACAAAAAAGCCAGTGGAAATCAGAAAGAGGCCAGCCTTTTCTTCCATTAGCCAGTCCAGGAATGCCGAGTTTAATTTGCCTTTCACATGGGTCTCCCAGCTTCCCGACTGCCCATGGTGCTAATGTGGTTACGGTCAGACAACCAACTGTAAAAATGGCACCTTCTCACTCAGCATAATGACTCTCTGCAGACCTCCAATTCATAGCTGCTCAATTTGCTGACAAAAACAAGCTTTTACTGCTGTTGGCACCACTGAGCCAGAGCAGCCAGAGAAGCAGACCCTTCCTGGGCTGTGGAGTGGACATGGTCAGCACAACTGTTTGGGAAATTCCCCTTCTCAGATCCTTTGAGAGCCAGTGATGTGAAGGGCTGACCCATAGTCTGGACCAGCAGTTAGCAAAATCAGCTCTGATGTGTAAGCACCACAAATAGTGGGGTGGCCATGGTGGAGGGGGTGCCCCTCAATCTCATTTAATGACTTTATGGTGGTGTCATTTGTAACCATCCTTTGTGAGGGTGTAATTGCGTACTGAAGTCAAAATGTTAACACCATTAAATGGAAGAAGTTAACCAGAGTGGCAAGAGGCTTAAATGAAAGGTGAACACTGGCCAAGTCTTGTAAGGTTGGTTTCAGGAGAGGCTGGTAGTCTGAAGCAACGGACCATGTGTCATTAGGGAGAATGCCAGAGTCTACAGAACTGGGCATGCGGTGTTCAGGTGCAGCAAAACAGAGAGGTTCAAGGCCCTCCAAGTGTCCTGCAGGGCTGTCACAACAGCAAGGGAACAGACACCAGGCTGCGGAGCAAAACTTGTTCTGAGATGAGGTTCTGAATTAGTATCCTAGCTGCTGACCTTGGATGGAATACCCCACCCTGGTTAAGCTTCAGTTACTCTCTACGTTGTGATAATGATTGAATTCACCTTAATTAAAGGGTTGCTATGGGCTTACACGAGACCCAGCAGGCAAGGCACAAGACTGGGGCGGCAGAAGAGCTTCACGACTGTTATACTCCACGATGAGGGCCAGGACCAGATGAGGACCGAGCACGTAGCTCAGTGCCTCTCAATAGCACCCGCATACCTGTGCATCTTTCCGATCAGTGAGGTCCAGGCGTATCTAAGCCATGTCATTATGTCTACAGGGCAATGTGGCTCTGCTGCTCTGTGAAAGTCCTTCCTTCTACCGAAGGACACATCAACGTCTCACAGCAGGGAGGATGCTTTTGCCAAGTGCCAGCCACTGTGGGGTACAGGGGTTGGAGGACAGGAATGGTCACCTGTGTGCTTAGTGCCAATGTGATTCTTTATCTCTGCTTCCTCCATGGTGACAAAGTCACAGGCCGTGCAGCAGATGGAGAACATCCACTGCTCCTTGTCCACGTGGAGTGACATGTGGCTGACAAACTGGACGTTGAGTTCTGTCTCAAATCCGCAAACGTGACAACTATGCAAAGGAGGAAAGAACAGGGAGAGTGAAGGGTGAGGCACGCACTTCTGAATGCGGGCTGCTCATTTACACGTGCGTTATTTCTACTAAAATGGACAGCGTGAGGCCATCCTTCTGCCTGCTGGGATGCCTCTGAAGTGGTCACTGTGCCAAACAGATTAGGTGCCAGCATAACGTAACAATCCCATACATGTGATAACGATGCTAAGTAATCATAAGTTAATTAAAAACTACAGGTTCCAGATGCTGCACATCCCCTAATGGAGTCCTTTGGGCAAAGAGATGCGGGGCAGCATTGCCAAGTTATTGAGTGGTGGGTCCACTGACAAACTTGGAGCACACTGCCCTCCCCAAGTCTCCCTCTGGCTCTAGAAACCTTGCAGTGCAAGGAGCAGAGTACATACAGATCACCCTGTGGCACTCTAAGCAAGAAGCAGTCCTGTTTGTGACTGTTCCCAGTGGAAGTCACCAATCCACCTAGGTGCCCTACAAAGCAACTTTCCACCAGTATCTCTAGGGCCAGATTTGATAGATTGGGGTTTTATAGCAGCAAACCAAATACTAATTCAAGGCTGACTATGGAACAGGACATAGCATTGTGTTAAGGGCAATCTTACCAAGGGACAGTACTCAGTGCCTCCCGAGTTCCTGCCTCGGAGCTCACATATTGACTTTCCATATCTCTCTTCCCCTACAATTCTTAGGCAGTAGCAGGGCCCAGTTATGAAGGGGAAGCCACGCCACAGTTAACAGCTGATCATCTCCAGAGTCTTGTTACTCTCTCTGGAGCCCCATTCCACAGAGCCACCTCTCTGACCATTTCTCTTTCAGTTCATTCTGCAAGGGCCACCTCACCCAGATAGGAGTCTAAAAATGCAGGGTTCCATCTAAACAAAGAACGTATTAAAGTGGATTTTAGCACATGACTGAGGAACGTGCCTTGGGCAGGCGACGATGAAGAGTCAAATGCAAGGGTCTGAGAAACTCAGCTATTCTGCTCAGGTCTGACTCACCTGTAGTAATAGGGGTGTTTCTTCCCGTCACTGCCTTCTGAGGTGACGGCGCTGACAATGTCCTCGGTGTCTGTGCTCACCAGCTTCACGGAATGCACGGTCAAGTGCTGGTTCAGATTTGCACGGCACTTAGCAGCATAGGGGCACAAGTGGCATTTGTATTTTCTTTCCTCTGGGGGAGAAAGAACAGGAAGAAACCAAAACTGTTCTAAAAAAAAAATGCAAGAGATGACCTAAAGGAGCCAAGAGAAGATGGTCCAAGTCTCCTTTACATGGAGACACCAAGGTCATCCCTTGAAATCCTACCTGCGCATATCCTTAGCAGTTTGCTCCTGTATCAATTCTGATAAAGATCTCTCAGGGCAGCTATCTGGAGGACAAGATTTTGAGGTTCTGAAACTTGGGGGATTACGGTGACCAAATACTGATTCAAGGTGGACTATAGAAGCCAAAGCTACACCGCAGAGACTAAGCGGTGACCCAACCCAGGGACAGCACAGTGTCTTGTGAGCTGTTTTCCTGGGGGTGGGGGTGTGTCTCAGATCGATTTTTCCTCATTTCTTTATGTATAGTTCTGCTTTTTCCTGAACACCACATCCCTAGTCCCTCATCAGACAATCCAAGTTCCACAGAGACTAAAAGAACACCATGTGAGGGTGTGTTTGCACATGTGTGCACACAGGCGTGCCCCATGCATTATTCTTACACAAGTCTGAGGTAAGGAAGACAAAGGAAATAAGCGACTGTAGAATCAGAGCATAAAAGAGGCCCCATCATTTCCCCTAAGTGCCAGGCCTAGGTCAGCCAAGAAATAAAAACTAATGAAATTAAAAGGGAAAAATGACTTGTGTAAAATAATATAATTGGAGATTTTCATTTTACATAAATAAAAATTTTTAATCTCAATTAATTTCTTAATGGAAATTTGCTCATAAAGCTGACTAACGTTTTGGTAGCATTTCCAGAGTGGCGTTCTGAATTCATTTGATTAATCAAGCAAATTACAAGTACAGGAAGCAGCATTGGTCTCATCGCACACACGATGGCACAGAAGCAGCAAAGAGCAGTCTCACTTCCCACCCTAGAGCTACTCGGTGTCTCTGGGCTTGTCTTGAAGAAAATACAAATCACATTTACTTCACCAGGAAGAACACACAAGGGAAAAGTTTTCCACCACAACACACAGGCACCATTATTACAATAGATGGTTCCCAGCATCCGAAGTGTGACTGGCTAAAGCTGGCGGGGGGCGGGGGGTTAGTGCAAAATATCTAATAATACTGGAATTTCTTCTTCTCAAAAGCTGAGAAAGAACTCATCTGGGAGAACTTCTGGACACCATTCCTTTATTAATAGTATTCCAAGTTTCCCTTGCCTTTTGGCTCCATTTTGGTATTTTTGCTTAAATTATTTATCATCTAACTTCTTTAAAATAATTTTTTACTTATTATTTTTATTTTCTTATGTGTATGAGTGTATTGACTGCATATATGTAAGTGTGCCCATGTTATGCAATGCCTACCAAAGTCAGAAGGGGCATAGGATCCCCAGAAACCGGAGCTACGATTAGCCGCCAGGTGGATGCTGAGAATTGAACCTGGGTCCTCAAGAGCAGCCAGCACTCTTCAACACTGAGCCATCTCACCAGCCCCTCATCTAACTTCTTTTTTTTTTTTAATATATTTTTAAAAATTTTATGTGTATGTGTGTATTGCCTACATGTAGGTAAGTGCACCTGTGTTGTGCAATGCCCTTGGAGGACAGAAGAGGCTTATCGGATCCCTTGGAACTGGAGTTACAGGCAGTTATTAGCTGCCATGTGGGTGCTGGGATTCAAACCCAGGTCTTCTGCAAGAACAGTCGGTGTTCTTAACCGCTGAGTCATCTCTTCAGCCCCCTAACTTTTATACTTAAAAAAAAATCCTGAGGTATCCATATTCACCAATAATTTAATTACTTAAAAAATTCTTTTGAGATAGGGGCTCACTATGTAGCCCTAGCTGACCTAGAACTCACAGAGATCCACTTGCCTCTGCCTACTGAGTGCTGATATTAAAGGCGTGAACCACCATGCCTTGCAGCAATAATTCTTTAATATCTGTTACTAGCTTTCCCTTTTCTGTCTTACATTTGAATATATTTGTTTCCTTTTCTTAATCATTTAAGTGTACTTAAAGAACATGGCCTTAAAACCTCCACTTCTTAAAAGACGCTACAGTTTTCTCTGTGTCTAAGTATATGACAAATTTTGAGTTTAGTGAAATTAGAAAAGATTTTAAAATTGGGCTCACAGAGCTCCATCTGCCTCTGCCTCCCATTGTCTGGGATAAAGGCAAGCACCACCATGCCCAGAGTTCTTTTCTTTATGAAGCAGGGTCTCACTATGTACCCCAGGCTGAGCTCAAATTCTAGATCCTCCTGCCTCAGCTTCTTGAGTGCTGGGATGACAAGTGTGTGTCACCATTACTGGCTTATAGCAATCATCTTGTTTTCATGCTCTGACAAATAAGATACATCTGGAAATTTTCAAAACCTGATTTTCAGTGTCAACCCTCACACAGTTGATTGCATTTCTGTCTTTGGTTTGGTGGTGGGGATTGAACCTGGTCTCTCATGTCATCCACCACTGAGCCACACCTCAGCCCTCTCATTTGCATCTGCCTGATGCTTACTGTTAAAGCAACTTTACTTTTTTTTTTAAATTCCCTTGCTTACTTTTGCTGATTAGGTTACTATTTACTCCTTCTATTTCTTGTTAACTTGGTTGCTTTTCTTGTCCTGGCCCTCAGAATCAATCACCGTTTGTCTACTGTTATATGTAAATAAAGGCAGAAACGATTTCTCCACCACTATGGTCTCTTCTCCTCTCCCCCAGCTCCCGCCACCACAGGGAGTCTCTCTCTTAAACCTTCATGTACCTTGGGTGTGAGCAACTGTCCTTTACTTAAGCCACTAAAACCCTGTCTTAATAAACTCCAACTTTGTTTCATGATAAAAAGAAGTTGAAACCAGGAAGACTGGATATAGCCCCAATCCCTGAACCATTAAGATAAGATTAATCCATTCTTTATAGACTTCAGGACTTTTCCTGGAGATGCCTAAATGTGTATCCTTTCTCCTCAGTCCTTCCTGGAACTCAACGAGCCTTTTCAGAGTAACAGAAAGGCTTACCCAGGCCCTTACTAACACACACCAGGTAGTTGGGCCTGCGAGGGTCAGGATGAATGTTTCCAACATTTCCTGTAATAATTCCCTTAGAGAAATTCAACTTCCTGTTAGCAGAAAGGTCTGGAAAGGAGGGCAACAGATTGGAAGTGTGGACCCCACTCACCTGTGTGCAGTGACAGGTGTCGAGACAACGTCTGCTGTCGGCCAAATACTTTCCCACACACATCACAAGGAAAGAGCTGATCGCTGAACTTCCAGGATGGCAATCCATTTCCTGCCTCAAGGACTATCTTTTCTGTTTCTGGACCAAGAGAACAAGGCGTTGTGAGGAATACAGCGCAACAGGAATGCTTTGCGTTTTAGCCAATCCTGAGGACTTCAGCAGAGGCTTCCTCTAAGAATGTGGCTGGACACTGCAAACAAGACCCAGTGACCATCTTGATGTTCATTTCCTGTTTCTACGAAGGTCACTGACCAGAGCTGTGGTGGAAAATGGATTTCAACTGCACCTGGGTCTTCAGCATTTCCTCTACCACCAAAGCCCAGTCAACCCACACCCCTAGTGGTTTGACAGCACCCTGCCCAGTATACAGAAGGTACTCAATAAACACTTGTTGAATGAGTGAACAGAGTTGCATGATAAAATTCCAAAAACCGTAGATGCCTGCTACAAGACAGTTAACAAGGTGCTCTAAATCCCAGATGCCAGTGTGAAAATAACTGGTTCAGTACCTTGCAAAGAAATAGTTCCACTGCCCTTTATGAAAAAAGTTTTGCTTTTAAGGTCTAGGTTGTGCAAAATCTTTTGACAAGCAACTTTACTAAACATACTTGGGGACAGCCACTGCATATTGCTCCTACTACAGCAGTACCCACTGGATTTCCCCCAGTCTTGTTGCATCTGGGAAAAAAAACTGGAGCTCTACAAGCAATCTTTATGTATCCACAGCCTTGAATGAAATAGGCCCACATTAATACATTCTTTTTGTATTTTAGAAAAGTTTTATTTTCTTATGATCACCTATAGGGCTTTCTTAACTTTCTGACCTATGCCTCTTCTGAATGAACCATAATGGATCACACAAACATCCCTTCTGCAGCCACATCAGGAGATGGGTGACAGATGGGACACCAAGAAGAGGGAAGGGGACATTTCCAAGGGAGCACTTCCCTGGGCCTCACTCTGAAGAAAGACAACACAGTGAGTTACTATTTGTCCTTTTACCTCAGTTAAGTTACTGTGAACCTTCCTCATTTTTTTTTTTTTTCCTCAGACAAGGTCTCACCAGCTGGCCTGGAACTTTCTATGTAGGACAGGTTGGCCTCAAACTCACAGAGATCTGCCTGCCTCTGAGTCCCGAGTGCTGGAACTAAAGACATGTACCACCATGCCTGGTGACTGCATCTTCTTAAAGCATAGTTCTATATTACAGAGCTGAATATCATACAGTGACAATTAAACGTCATTAGGAACTTTTCATAAGAGCCAAGCAGAGGCAGTCAAGAGAGGAAAGTACTTGATTTCACACAGTTTGGCTAAAACTGCTTTCCAAATACAGGTTTCCACCTGCATTTGGACGAGTCAACTGGATCAATGCTCATTCGAATGAAGATTTGCTAGAAGTGTAATCTGAGGAGAAAAATAAATAGGAACACACGTTTGGAACGGGAGAAAGGATGAACTGTGGAGAAATTGCAATGATGTTTGCTGTGCAGTGCCCGCCAGCAATCCCAACACTGACAAAACACATTTATTGATTGATCTGTGTTTGTTAAAACTTAGCTCTTTGGGCCTTAGGGAGAACAGCTAGTCTGTTTAAAGCAAGAGTACCTGACTAAGAACTTGTATGGAGCAAGGGGTGGAACTGTGGGGAAGGGAAGGTGAGGAGGGAGGTGCGGGTCAGTGGGGCTTCTGAAGATAAGGACCACTCCTGGGTGACTACCCTTGAGCTCGACTCTGGGTATTTCATCTACAGTGATGAGAAGGCATTTTAAGTAGTTCCTTCTGAGTGCATAATCAAAACAGTGCTTCCAAGGAGGATGATAGTGATAATTATAAGCAGAGGTCAAGATGGTGCAGGGTCTTCTAATATATTCACAATAAATGAATTAATCAGGTCATAGACCCAACAAGTAGGTGCAATTAAAAATGAAGAAGTCTCTTAATAATTCTTTCAAGTATCAGTCATGTACTTGAGAAGATGAAGCATCATAAGGCAACCAGGTCCCTCCAGGGCCTTAGACAGTAATGACAACTTTAAAGACTGCTGCAGCTGAGTGGAAAGATCACCCTGCAGGCTCAGTGGGGGGGACAGAGTAAGGGTTAGGGTGCCCAAGACGCACCAGCATCAGTCCTGTGTTCAGGCCCAAGTCCTGTCTGGGCTGACCCCTAAACCCCTGGTGTTCGAATTTACTGCACGGTCTGTTTCTCTTTCATAAGTAGGAGCTAGGCCACCCCAGGCCATCTGAGCCTTAGCCTAGAACATGACCTTGGAATACCCTCTGGCTGGAGCTGGGGTGAAGGGGCAGGGGAAGTGTTATGCTTTGATGACATTGTGGAGCCCTGTTCTTTTGTTGACAACGTGGAAATGAAGTTCCACAGAGGCCACGTTCTTCCACGTTTCCTGTTATTAGTGTCACTCAAATGCCATGTGAGAGATCTCAGTCATTTCTTTTTTTAAAATATCTCATTTTTATTTTACGTGTGAGTGTATTGCTTGCATAAGTGCACATATATCATGCAATTCCCGTGGAGGTCAGGAGAGGGTGTAGGATCCCCCGGAACTGGAGTGACGTCCGTTGTTAGCTGCCATGTGGATGCTGGGAACCAAACTTGGGTCCTCTGCAAGAACAGCCAGTGCTCTTAACCACTGAGCCATCTCTGTCATTTCTGATGCCATCCCCTCTGATGCCACCCCCTTTCTACCTTTTACTACGTCCAAGCAGTCACCAATCTTTCCTCAAAAATCTTCCCAAACTCTAGTCTTTCTCTCTTACCAAGATTCTTGTAACACTTTCTCCCACACTTTTGGCTACTAAGTCTTTCCCTTTCAGTGTGCTCTACCTTCGTGTCCATGTCTCAGAAAGACCTCCCCGAGGCACACATCTAATCACGCTTTCACCTGGGTTCCAAGGCTCCACCATCTCGCCCCTTGTCTTCTGAGATCCTTCACGGACTATCATTCCTTCCTTTACCTCCCACTGCCCAAGTGTGCCCGAGTGAGCTGCTTGGCCCTGGGCAATAAAGTATTGCCCAGGAAGCCCCTGATGCATTTAAAACGAGCTCCCTTCCCAAAGCTGCCACACCAGCAGTCCTTTCACACACTCACTTTCATGCCCTGTCTTGTATTTCATCTCTGCCCACTCCCCAGGTAAAATTAGCCATTTTCCCATCCCATTGTACCTGGTGCAGTATTCGTTCACACAGTATTATAGTTTGGATACTGAAGGCTTCGTGCCCACCCTAAAGTGCTACTGGGAGGAGGTGAAACCACTAGAAGGCAGGGTCTAGTGGAGGGAAATTAGGTCACTGGTGGCATGTCCCTGAGGGGGTATTGGAACCATAGCCGCTTTTGCCCTTGGCCTCTCAGCTACCATGAACTAAGCATGTTGCTTCACCACACACTCGAACCATGATGTGCATCCTCAGCACAGGCCCAAGGCAAGAATGTCAACTGCTCACGGACTGAACGCTCTGAAACTGTGAGTCAAAATAAACCTTTCTTCTTTACTAATTGATCACCCCAGGTATTTTGCTTCAGTAACTAGCACATATTTTCTGTATCACATACAGCCCATAGTAGAGTTCAACACAGTGCATAATACATGTTTCCTGGTCTCCTTTTCCTGATAGAATGCACAGCCCTTGGGAGAAGGTGTTCATAGATTTATTTGTACATCCTCAGCATTAGCACACTGCCTGAAACACAGTAGGTGTTTAGCACATAACCATTAGAGAGATGAGTGACTAAGAGATCCAAGTGAGACAGGAGTAAATATTATCCTTACTTAACAGTAGGAATAACTAGAGATTTATTAGCATTAATATGGATTAGCATAATTAATTTAATAGCGTTAACTATTAAGGTCAATTGCCAATTTGGTATGAAAAATAAGGCACCTGCTTTGTGAACAAGTGCTTTAGTCAAGCTCAAGAGATGTGCTCTCATGATTCTGTCAGGAGAAATGCTTGCAATTGTAAAACAAACCCCAAAGGTTTTATGGCCTTGCTTCTGCTCAGTAATACCATGCTGTAAGTTGATTCTGTTTAAGCAATCTCTCTAGCAGACACTGATAACGTTACCCCGTATTCCTAACTTCCCTTTTCCCATGCCCTTTCCCACTACGGAGGTGCTGATGTTGAAGTGCTAGCTAACGAAAAGGCAAAGGCGTTTGCGTTCTTGGAAAGATCTGACTGAGCGCAGGCCTTCTCTCTTTTCATGCCTTGATCATCGAGGAACCAGCTAGGACTGTGGCAGCTATTTTGTGACTAGGAAGCATGAAGATGTGTGCCAACTTCAGAGCATGGAGGAAGGGAGTGATGGGAGAAATCTGAGTCCTTGATGGCATTGCTCAGCGGCTACATGAACGCCCGAAGTCATCTACCTTCGGACTTCTTTTGTGAGGAAAAGTCACTGGGTTTTTTAAAGCCGCTGTTGGGTTTTTTAATTACTTATGCCATTCTTAACTGAAACCCACTCTCATGGTCACTCCTGGCCTTAGGACTTTGGTCGTTAGGTTTTAACTGTCGATAAGCTTTATTCCTGCTCTCCAGCATCTTCTGAAGGACTCTTCCTCTTCACTTACAACAGCAGCAAGTATGAAGTCAGCTGAACACATTTTCATCTTAATTATCTTTGGTTCTGCTTAAAAAAAAAAACCACAACAACTTACAAGCTTCTTTTTGCTTTAAAATGTCCTTTTACTGGAACATAATATATACCTAAAATGGAAAAGTAACTGCTTTTTAACTAATTCCAAAGTCTCCAGACAGTTCAAGCTACATGTGTTCTTTAAAAATTTCTGCTTTCTTCTTTATTCCCACAACCCCTAGTGTTTGCTTTATTTTATTATTGTTATTACTATTGGTTGTTTTTGAAACAGTGTCTCCCTATAGCCACAGCTGGCCTCGAACTTGCTATGTAGACCAGGCTGGTCTGGATCTCTAGATCCACCTGCATCTGTCTCCTGAGTGTCAGGATTAAAGGTGTGTGCCACCACGCCCAGCTCTCGCGTCATTATTTTAAGTACCCATGAATTGTATACTAAGATCTTTTTCCCTTCTTTTAGAGCAAAAGACTT